AAAAAAAAAAAAAAAAAAAAAAAAAAAAAAAGTGTTACTTTAAATCCCTCAAAACATATCGTACTACAACAGGGGATGATGCAGCTTCCACAGGTAGCTCATGAAAATAGTTTAGGCATAGGAAGATTGATTTATTTATACATAACTTTGAAAGACTTCCAAAGAGACCAAGCTTACCAATGAGTGTAATAGGCTGGAGATGTAGCTCAGAGGTAGAGAACTTGCCTAGCATGTGCAAGGCCCTGGGTTCAATCCTCAGCACTGCAAAAAAGAAAAAGAGAAACAAATATAAAGCAAAGCCTAGCTTTCAATTTCAACCTACATCATTAACATCTTACTATTACCATCATCTTTCTTTCTGTACCATAAACTTCTGGGAATAAATTTAGGGTTCACTAGAGACAAGTTTGTTCACAGATTCCCCCTGTTATTCCCTGAAAAATGCAACATACTGCTACAGAATAAAGGAAGAAAACCTCCTATTTTTGTCTTAAACTGACCAGGCTGAAAGGTAAATGTTCACAGACCGCAGTACACAGCTACACAGAATCCTTTCATTGGTAGAGACAAGTGAGTGGGTTGATGAGTTCTAAAGGTGAAGACATTTGTTAAGGAAGATTACGCAGGGATACTATAGAGATGTGCCGCCCACCGTTCTCATCCTCGGTGTCCTCCAAGGGGACCATGCTCATCACGTGGAAATGCACTTCATCGTTTCCTTCCCTCTTCAGAGCTCTCATGGTGATGACGTCTGTAGAGCCACCCCCACTGACCCTGTTCTCTCCTCTTTTGTTCTAGAATTCCAGGAAATGGTGCATTCTTAAAAGCCCCAGTCTTTGGAGAAAACAGAGGAAGGGACATTCAGCTGGAAGGTCTCCAGAACCCTGGTAATGGGAAACCCCACATCCTACCCCAAACTAATTTATGAATTTCTCCTGAAACACTGATGCAATTTGTTCATTGCTTGAGAGAGAGAGAGAGAAAAAAAAAAAAGACACTCCATAGCCTTTTTGGTGGTGGGTATGCCCTGATGACCCTTGTAAGGCCCCTCGCAGGTAATGTCTTTTAAAAAATCACCCAATAAAGACAGCTTCTTGTCATTGGCTGATGTGTGGGTGTGTTTTTTCTCTGCAAGGTAGAGAGACAGAACTGGGTGTGGTGGTGCACGCCTACAACCTCAGCACTCTGGGAGGCTGAAACAGGATTGCGAATTCAAGGCAGCCAGGGTAATTTAGTGATGTAGCAAGACCATGTCTCAAACTAAAACATTTCTTAAAAGGCTGAGGCTGTAGCTCAGTGGGAAGGCACTGGTTCAGTCCTAGTACTGTCCCCACAAAAAGTGAGGGACTTAAGTGAGTGAGGCCAAGGAATCTTCTAAAGATCTTGGGTCCTCTTGGGCCACCAAGCAAGCCACACTGACATATGTGAGGAAGCAGGGAAATCAGGTTTAAAAATAGGAATATCACAAATCAATGGCATCACTGAGGTTTTTTTTTTTTTTTCTTAGAGATTCATCTGACTCTGAAATTAATGTGAAGAGATTCTAGCCAGCATAAAGTCAGTCTTTCCAATGCGATTTCTGCCACTGGGGGCTTGATTGCTATGCAACAGATTTAAGTAAAAGCAAATGGGACAAGACGGAAGGGTGGGGAGCTGGAGGGGACTGCAAAGCTAGGGGTCTGGCTAGGCCAGCTCAGCACACAGACCCATTGTCCAGTCCATCCTCCTTCCCTTCCTTTCCCTTCCCTTCCCTCTCCCTCTATCCCTCTCTCCTCCCCCCACCTCTTAGAAAAACAAGCTCTTAACCTTGCCTGCCTTCACCCAGCCTTCTGCCACCGCCCCCCTTCTCTGCCACCATTTTCCTGGCTCTTAGGTGACACCTTTGGAGCCAGTGACATGAGCCTTGTCCTACCTTCAGGCCAGCCTGCAGGTCCTGTTACAGGGTTGTCATGAAAGTTGGGCAGTCTCAGCCAGGAAATTCTCATTAGGCTGACGTCCAGGTGGCCGGCAGAGCTATTTTCTCACTGACCCTGAGAGATGGGGGCTCCTCAAGTCACAGATGCATTTTCCTGCATGTTTGTTTAAAACCTCATACTTTTGCCTCTCTCTAACCTTGCCACATCCAGAGTGTGTCTCTAAGACTGCTTCCCGCACAATAAACAGCCAGTGAGATTTGAACCTCTGTTTCTTGGAAGGTCATGTGCGAGGCAGTGTTTAAAGTGGGAGGCACTATTAGAAAGGGGCCTCAGCCAGGCTTGATGGCTCATACCTGTGACCCCAGCACTCTGGGGGGCTGAGGCAGGAGGATCACAGGTTCCACCCCAGGTTTTTGAATGTGTATCAGTTTGAAGAATATGAAGTAATATTAGACGCACTACTATCTGGATCAACAAAACTCATGAAGGCATCTTTCAAATGAAAATTGGGAAACTCAGCTTTACAGTGAAGAACTGTTGGGGAGGGCCCAGAATGGAACTAACTTCTTGACAGTCTCTCTGTGCCTGTCCCTGTCTCCTGTTCCCCACATACTCATCTCCCCCAATGTGTCCCCTTCCTGGCAGGAACCTGGCTAAATCCCCTCCACTGCCAGCTTCCCTGGGTGCATGGATGTCTCCTGGATGCGCATGTGACTCCTTTACAGTATAGACAGGAAGAGCACCTCCCTTGCTTGTACTCATGCCCTAAAGGCCTTGGTTCTTAAAACATTAGTATTTTGTCTTCATACCATATGTTTGAACTCTGGTCCTTTATTTTCGTTTCACTCTATTATTCTTCCCCAGCTGTGCATTTTGTCCTTTTTTATAGTACTAGGGATTGAACCCAAGGCCTTCACACTGATCAACTCCAGTCTTCCCTCTTTAAAGAAAAAACATTTTTTTTAATTTTGAAAAAGGATTAAATGGGTTTGAGCTTGGGATCCTCCCCAGAGTAGTGGTAGTATAGATATATGCCACCACGCCCAGTTTAAGACAAAAGTTGTTTTTTAAAAAATTACCTGAGTTTAGTTACTACGTAAGTTTGTACAAAATAGTTTTAAGATGGGTCACATTTGCCGAGTATGATGGCCCATGCCTATAATCCTAGAACTCAGCAGGCTGAGTCAGGAGGACTGCCAAATTTTTGTGGCCAGTTTGGGCTACACAATGAGATCCCCAACTCAATCAATCAATCAATCAATCAACCAATGGGTCATAGTCAACATGTATCTCACAGAAAAAAGAATGAAAAGATATATAGGCAAACATTAACAGTGTGGCCCCCTCCAGCTGGGAGGATTATAGAACAATGATCTTTGATTGGAGCCTTTTTAAAAGTGGAGCATAATGACAAGAGAAAATAAAGAACAAAGATGTAGATTATACCCAATTATAGTCACTAAGCCAAAGTAGCAAATTTTGATTCTAAAGATCTTACACGTCTCATACTCTAATGAAAGCCTTGCATAATATTCTGTTCCTGAAATTTCTTCTCATTTTTAATCATTTGTATTTTAAATACTTGAAAGAATTTTAAATATAACATATCCAAAATCAAATAAAACTGGAAACACTCTGAAGAAAATTCTAACAATCCTAGAAAAGGCTTACATATGAAAAGCTTTACTTGTATGCTTGACTTCTCTATTTTTACCTAATTAGCAGATGACCACAGGCCTACCTCAAAAAGACACATTATTTTTGCCAACTGTAAACTCAGTTCTCTGGGAGGCTGAGGCAGGAGGGTTCCAAGTTTGAGCCTAGCCTGAGCAGTTTAGTGAGGTCCTGACTCAAAATAATAAAACAAGATTGGGGATGTAGCTCAGAGTGTAGGCTCTGGGTTTAATTCTCAATACTGAAAAAAACAAGTTTTCAGTACTCAAGTGATTGATGTATTTTGACTTTAAAATGAAGGCCTAAACTGAAACATAGTTTATTTTTCCCTAATTGTTTATAAAATAAGAATACATTTCTGGCTTTATTTTTATTCTTTTAACTCTAGCTTTAATTTGGACTATTATTCCTTTACACTTTTAGTTCGTAGCTTGTAGAGTAGTTCAGAATTTAATAGATCTCAAAGACAGCTTAGTAAATGTCCTTAATTGTTGAGACTAAATGGATTATAAGGCCTCAAATATGATCTAGTATTTTCTTCCACTGTCTGCACATTAAGAAATATTTATAAGATTTTTTAAACAGATAGGTTTTCAAATTGGTATTTTCAACTCAAAAACAAAGAGTAGCCAATTTGGGAAATACTTGTCTGTTTGTTCAGGTTTACAAGATACATAGTTAATTCGATGAAAGCACTACAGTTTAACGTTGTGTAATGAGCACTCAGGGATCTGATTTCAAGCAAAAACCGATCTTCTATCTGCTCTGCTAATGTTAAGCTATGGTATCACTTTGCAAACACTTAAGAAGACAGATGAAATTGGAATCACCGGGATCATTTCCACCGTGCCTGTTAATTTATTCACTGGAAAGACTATACATCTACATGTTTTTGGTAGTTTCAAAAAATTACCATTTTTGGTGGTGGTGGCGATTGATTTTGACAAAGTTCTCCTAGGGGGTTAACAATGAGTATAAATGGACTCTCACCTTACATTGCTTTTAAGTCATGAAGTATTTCAAACAGAGCAGAAGTAAAGCAACATTAACATCCGTGTACTTGGCTTTATCAAATCGTGGTACACTTATGGATCTATTAGGGTGGGCTGAAGATAAGTTGCCAGAGATCTGGGGGGCGGTGTAAAGTACAACCCTCTCTCTCCCTTTCCCTTCCCTCCCCTCACTCCTGCTGCACTGAGGATTGAACCAGAGCCTCTGCACAGAGCTACATCCCTAGCCCTACTGAATGACTGACTGATCGATCAATTGATTGATTGATTGAGACAAGGCCTCACTAAATCACTAAGTTTCCTAGGCTGGGCTCAAATCTGCAATTCTCCTGCCTCCTAAACCTCCCAGAGTGCTAGGATTACATGTGTACACAGCCACATCCAACTAGTGTTTTACTCTTGGGAGGCAGGTGCAGGTGGCCATTCCGTTGGCTTGCCTCTTTAGTGTGGGATCCCCTGCAGCTCCCCATATTAGATATGCAAGGACACTGCTTCCTCCTGGTGTCCCTCATCATCAGAGCTGGAGGGAGTGAGGGGCTGGCCTAGGTTCCAGTCTGTCTTATTAGTTTGTCCTCACTCTTCCAGAGTTCTGTGGCTGTTTTAACATTACCAGGGGAGATGACGATGGTGGGTAGATCCTGGAAAAGACCAGAAGAATGCCTCAGTCTATAGTCTATCACCTGGACCCTCATACAACTTTGGTTGCTCTATGTCTATGTTATTTGTTAGAAGTCCCCCAAAGACTTTTTGAGAAAATGTAAAAGAGAGTTCTCTGATCTAGTCTCTTTTTTAAGATCATTGCTTTAATGCCAAAATATGTACTTCTCACGGCAGGATTTCATGCATTTAAGAGTGTACTAGTCCCAGTTCTTTGAGGTATCGCCGTATTGATTTCCATAGTGGTTGCACCAGTCTGCACTCCCACCAACAATGGAGAAGGGTTCCTTTCTCCCCACAACCCCGCCAACATTTGTTATTGTTTGATTTCTTGATAGCAGCCATTCTTTGTGGGGTGAGGTGGAATCTCAGTGTTATTTTCATCTGCATCTCTCGAATGACCAGTGATGTGGAACATTTTTTCATATATTTACTTGCTGTTTTCACTCCTTTGTCTGAGAAATGTCTGTTCATTTCAGATGCCCATTTTTGAATGGGGTCTTTATATCTGAGGGGGCTGATTGTGTTGAGTTCTTTATATATTCTAGATAATAGTCCTTTGTCTGAGGAGCAGCTGGTAAAAATTTTTTCCCACATTGTAGGTTGTCTCTTAGTTCTGGTGATGGTTTCTTTTGCAGTGCAGAAGCTTTTTAATAAGATGAGATCCCAGTTGCTGATTCTTTCTGCTAGTTCCTGTGCTACCGAGGATTTGTTAATAAAATCTTTTCCTATGCCAATGTCTTCAAGAGTTCTGCCTAATATCTCAAAGAGCTGGGACTAGAGGTTCCCTTTGACCCAGCCATCCCTCTGCTGGGTATCTTTCCAAAAGAATTAAAAGAATCATATCACAGAGATATATGTGCACCTATGTTTATAGTGGCACAGTTTGTAATAGCTAAAACTTGGAAAGAGCCCATTTGCCCATCAGTTGGAAACTGGATACAGATGTGGTTTTTCTATGAAATGGAATACTACTCGGCCATAAAGAATGAGAAATTAGATTCATTCCTAGGAAAATGGATACATATTGAGGATATACTCCTAAGTGAAATAAATAAGTCACACATGGGTAAATACCGAATAGTTTCTCTGGTGTGAATAAACTATAATAGTACATAAGATCCTAATGATATAATGGACAATGTGAAATAGGAAAAAAGCGGGTAAAGGTGTAGGGAAAGTGGGAAGGACAGGGGAAAGCTAGTAAGGGGGAAAATACGAGAAAATGAAAAAATGGAAATGAAGTGTTTGTAAAAGGGGAGGAGAGGAGGGGTGAAGGGAGGGCAGGGACAAGGGGAAAAAAACGAGAACAAAGACCTGTCCTGTAAAGGTACAAGATCCCAATAATGAATGCAACTGTACTGTATACCTAAAATGTACCAATAAACTCAATGAGGAAAAAAAAAGTATACTAGCTAGTAAAGTCAAGAGCAAGGAGATGTAGCAATCATTTGTGGAACAATGATTACATGGCTGGACACTCAATGGACATTCATAACCCCATTTCTTTTTCTCTCATTGAGTTTATTGGTACATTTTAGGTATACAGTACAGTTACATTCATCATTGGACCCCATTTAATTCTTAAAGTGCAATTTCTACTACATAGAAATTAACTATTAATCATGTCACAAATAAGAGCAACTGGAGGCTATATGATCGATCCAATGTCTCGCACTTATTAAGTGGCAGAGCTAGGATTCATACCCAGATGTCTCATGTCCACATTTCAATGCACAGCCTCTGTAAGGTCTATGAGGTTGGGTGAGGTAAGTGGTCTTTCTAAATTTCATCTATTGACACCAGTTATCCTAAACCGAAGGTCTTCTTGAGGTTGGCCAAGTGGTCTGCTCTAAGGGCTTGAGCTCCAAATATGGGAAACAAGCACTTCCAACTGTGTCACAATCCATGCGACTCAAAGGCTAAGGTCAAGGTTTGGGAATGGGCACCATGGGGTGAAGGCCATGTCTGATCCCACCTCTGCTGCACACACAGCTAGAGAATGCAGGTTAGGCACAAACTCTTATCTAGATGGTTTTGATCCAGCAGCCACTGCGGTCTGACAGGGACTCTAGAAATGATGTGATGGTTCCAGGGCCAGAATGCAAGCACATCCACCCCTAAAAGTGTTCACTTACAAGCCAGGCCTTCGTTTTCATCTTCACATTCCCTTCTCTCACCCTCCCCCACCAAAAAAACTGTGTCTCTTCCATTTTTCCTTAAAACTCGTAGCCCTAGCCTTTAGTGATAACAGAAATCCTGGAGCCAATAACAACAAATTTCACCTCCACCTGAACTTCACTGTATCGCAAAAGAAACATCACAGTCCAGGAATCAGGTGAGAACCTGGTCCACCCGGACGTGTCAAAAGGAGACGCCGCGCTGGGATTCTCCTTCCGGGCCAGCCGCGACCACTTCCCGGCTGACAGCTAGCAGGCGGAAGTGCAGTCGGCTCACAGCTGCTGGCTCTGGGCGGGCAAGAGGGAGGCTCCCAAATAGGGGGCCGGGCCGGGATGGCAGCAGCGGCTGGGGCCGGCGCCGGGTCTTGGGCATCCCAGGAGAAGCAGTTCCCACCTTCGATGCTGAGCTTCTTTATCTACAACCCGCTCTTTGGGCCACGCGAGGGAGAGGTACAAGGAGGAGGGTGCTCTTGGGTGTCAGGTGGCGGCCGAGGAGGGCTATCGGCGACCGGCGGGCGTCAGTCCCCAGGAGCCAGAGCGTGCGCCGGGGTGGTGGTCCCTATCATTGTAGCCACCTCTAGGGCATTGATGGAGCCTGCTGTGTGCCAGGTGTGCGCCGGGCCCGGGGGCGGGGTACGCAGGGACCTAACGACGCCGGCAGCACGTTTCAGTTTCCGGATCGGTGCCTGTCCTCCGAGTGAAGGTGCGGCAGGTGAATCGCTCCGCGCAGGTCGAGTCTCGTTTCGCTTTGCGGCAGTTCTGGAGAATTAAAATTGAACTTGTCTCCCGAGCGTGGTGGCGCACCCCTTTAATCCCAGGCTGTGGGAGGTTGCAGCAGGAATACAAGTTCCAGCCCAACCTGGGCTATTTAGTGAGACCTTGTCTCAAGATCAAGAATTTTTTTAAAAATTTGTTTTAAGGGATGGGAATGTAGCTCAGTGCGAAGGCCCTGGATTCAGTACCGGAAAAATTTTGTTTTTTGAACTTGTCTTCGTTTTTGGAAGTTTCAGACTTGAAAGTATGGAACCAGAGTGCTGAATTGTGGCCCTAACATAGTGCAAACTTGGAGGGTGCACGGGAAGGTTTTTTTTTTTTTCCCAAAAAAATAAATAATAAATTACAGGAATTGTTTGTTCTGAAGTATGGTGACTTCCTCAAAAGATGTCCAGAACTGTTTTGTTATCAGCAAATCACAGTCATATTAGAGGGCTGTCCAAATGCTTACCAGACAGCTGGATTTTTAAATTTTAAAGAAAGTTATTTTTGTGTTGCTGGGGATTGAACCTAGGACCTTTGCATGGAGTTACATCCCTAGCTCCTTTTTATTTTTAATTTTGAGACAGAAGCTTAAAGAATTGCTCAGGCTGTGCTCAAACTTTACAATCTTGTGCTTCAGCCTCCCGGAGTTCTGGGATTATAGATGTGCACCACAATGCCTGGCTACCAGCTGGATTTAATTTTTTTTTTTTTTTTTTTTTTTTTTTAGGGATTAGAACTCGGGTCCTTGCATTTGCAAGGCAGGGCACTGAACCGCTGAGCTAAATCCCCGGCCCTTGGATTTTGGATTTAATTTTTTGGGAAGTTGTATTCCTATGCATGTGAGCACATGCTTATTTCTTTTTATTGAGTTTATTAGTACATTCTAGGTATACAGTACAGTTACATTCATTACTGTGATCTTGTACCTTTACAGGACAGGTCTTGGTTCTCATTTTTTCCCCTTGTCCCTTCCCTCCCTTCACCCCCTCCTCCCCTCCCCATTTACAAACACTTTATTTCCACTTTTTCATTTTCTCAT